TCTTATAAATATGTACTTTTATTGGTATTACAATTTCGTAGTGTTTGTATTATTGCTTGTCGGATGCCTATCACCATCTGGCAAAGGGACTGTGAAAACTAGCCTGTTGGCTAATTTGAGTACATTTACATGTTTTTAATATGTTGATTAATGTACACTGTCCCTTGTTTTTAAATAAATCAATTCAATTCAACATATAGAAAACGAATCATGCATAAATCTGCAGGAACCATCATTTATTTATTCCGTTTTTAATAATAATGCTTCGTGTTTCTAGCTGTTATACTAATTTCAGCCACAAGAGGCTGTTATTGACCTTTACCCTACTTTTGATAAAATGAAGTAAAAACCAGTGTGTGTGTGTGTCTGTCTGTCTGTCTGTCTGTCTGTGTGTGTGTGAACTCAACAGATCACTCCTCAGCTCGCTCTCCAGGGTCTCCTTCAGTTTTAAAGCGCCCTTTTTTATACCTATTTTCAGGTTGTATTTTCCTGAAGCTAATACTAGCATCCGATATTAAAGACAAAATGAGTCAGAATCAGCTTTTTTGTCTTTATTATAACATCAGGATTCAACATCATGTATAAAAGAGTGCATCTTTAAAAACGTTAAGATAACAATGATCAACATTTCATAAACAACAGGACATATAGAGAATATAAATAGAGAAGAAGAGTATTGTCTCAGTTTAACCTCTGGAAGAGTCATTATTGGGCATATGGGTCTGGTAGATATGATCAAATATATATCATTCAGTGTAAAACATTGTGTTTATGTATCTGTAATTAAACATGGACTTCAATACTTGTTTTTTCAAAGAGACGAGAGGAAATGGCTTCTCTTTCAAACAACAAAAATCTGAAAAATGCTGATATTTACAGTGAAAAATTCATAGATTTCCCTCGTTTTGACATCTTAAAATGATGGTATGATTAACAGAAACACTGCAGAAGTCAGTGATAAAGGGCAAGACCCACGGAGAACAATCAAGTGTTGACCAAAGATAACCAGTGTTGACGTTGCACTTGAACGCACCACAAGTCTATAGTGTTTAGTGCCTCAAAGCAGCATAAAAACATTGAATAAACGGTTTATAAAACACTATAGTGTAGATGTTAGTAGAGCTGCAACCACTGGGCAATGTACAGAAAATACTGATGAAGTTTTTTCATATTTAATTCATCGTTAAAAGTATTTTTCATGCAAAAAAGGTCAGAATATGCTGTTTTTTAGCACACAAAATGGACTTAAAAGTAATTATCTTTGGACATTTCAACATTTTGTAGTCATCTAAGACTCATAGTAACACTGCGTTTTAATTTAAAACATAATACTTTGATTATGAGGGACCAGGACGGACCTTTTTCAATATTTTCTGACATTTTTAACGCACTTTTCGAACACGTTTAGCGAAATTTTTCCACCATGAGTCGACTCGACGATTATTCTATGAACACAAACCATTTGGACATTTAAACACCTCGTGTTTTAGGATCTGGGATGCACATTTTTCCATATTTACAAATGTTACAAAATAACTTGCATATTAATCGATAAATGAAAATATGTCATTAGTGGCAGCTCTACTTGTTTGCAGATATAAAGACATCTGAAGTAACAGCATTAACTTGTCAGGAAGCAAAGAAATACAGTCAGAAATACAGTCGGAACTACGGTCGGAAATACGGTCAGAACTACGGTCAGAAATACAGTCGGAAATACAGTCAGAAATACAGTCAGAAATACAGTCGGAACTACGGTCGGAACTACGGTCGGAAATACGGTCAGAACTACGGTCAGAAATACAGTCAGAAATACAGTCAGAAATACAGTCGGAACTACGGTCGGAACTACAGCCGGAACTACGGTCGGAAATACGGTCAGAACTACGGTCAGAAATACAGTCAGAAATACAGTCGGAACTACGGTCGGAAATACGGTCAGAACTACAGTCAGAAATACAGTCAGAAATACAGTCAGAAATACAGTCAGAAATACAGTCGGAACTACGGTCGGAACTACAGCCGGAACTACGGTCGGAACTACAGTCGGAACTACAGTCAGAACTACAGTCGGAAATACGGTCGGAACTACGGTCGGAAATACAGTCGGAACTACGGTCGGAACTACAGTCGGAACTACGGTCAGAAATACAGTCGGATCTACAGTCGGAACTACAGCCGGAACTACGGCCGGAACTACAGTCGGAACTACGGTCAGAAATACAGTCGGAACTACGGTCGGAACTACAGCCGGAACTACAGTCAGAAATACAGTCAGAAATACAGTCGGAACTACGGTCGGAAATACGGTCGGAACTACGGTCGGAAATACGGTCAGAACTACGGTCGGAACTACAGCCGGAACTACGGTCAGAACTACAGTCAGAAATACAGTCAGAAATACAGTCAGAAATACAGCCGGAACTACGGTCGGAACTACGGTCGGAACTACGGTCGGAACTACAGTCAGAAATACAGTCAGAAATACAGTCAGAACTACAGTCGGAACTACGGTCGGAAATACAGTCAGAAATACAGTCAGAACTACAGTCGGAAATACAGTCAGAAATACAGTCAGAAATACAGTCGGAAATACAGTCAGAAATACAGTCAGAAATACGATCGGAACTACGGTCAGAAATGTAAATTAGCATTATATTTCATTGTTCATTTGGCAACTAGTCTTTTTTCTATGTTAGAGGGATAATGTTAATAACTCTGCTATTT